CAATTTCCTGGAAGTCAACAAAGCAAACTCTAACAGCAACATCATCAAATCAAGCTGAATTGGTAGCACTTTATGAAGCTGGTCGAGAGTGCGTTTGGTTGAGATCGATGATCGATCATATACAAGGAGCATGTGGTTTGGAAGAAATCAAGAAGAATCCTACAATTATATATGAAGACAATGCAGCATGCATAGCTCAGATCAAGGAAGGTTATATCAAAGGAGACAGAACGAAGCACATCTCACCAAAGTTTTTCTCAACATCTGATCTGCAGAAAGAAGGAGAGATCAATGTTCTTCAAGTTAAATCAAGCGAAAATTTGGCAGACTTATTCACCAAATCTCTGCCTAGACACAGTTTCGAGCAACTCATAAAGAAGATTGGACTTCGCAGGCTGAAAGAGATAAATTAGTTTGAGGGGGAGTTTAATTTTATTTTGAGGGAAAATATTATACACGCTGTACTCTTTTTCCCTTAACTAAGTTTTGTCCCATTGGGTTTTCTTAGTAAGGTTTTTAATGAGGCAGCATAACTGATCCTGCAGTATCAGTTAATATAGGTCCTGAAGAACCTAGCCAACATTATCCAGTAGCTAATGTTGTTAGTGTATAATGCATGATGATATATCTGAGGGGGAGTGTTAAATATGACAGATATATTTCTTATTCTATTTAGAATATTTTGTTTCCTTATTGACCTACACTATACCTCTTCCCGCGTATGTATAAATACCCCGTATATGATGAATAAATGATAGAGTTCACAACAAGAACATCTTTTTTTGATCAACTAAAAAATGGCAATTATTGGAACCAATGTTTGCCGAAAAAAATATTGTTGTGCATCGTACTTTAGAAAACTATACAGATGAACTTTTGGGTATTTCCAATGAAAGTAGAAGAAAATCTTAAACAAACTTTGGGTACTACCAATTGAAGTAGATTATTTTATTCTTGTCACCTCTTATTTTGAAAAAATTTTTAATATAGTTTTAAGTATAAAAATTTTATTTTTTTCTATGACAGTTTTTTTAATAAAGTAAATTGATAGAATTAAAATTTTCATTTCACTAGTAGTGAAGCAAATGTTTTAAGACGAAAAGAGTAGAGAAGGTTTAAGTCATGATAAAAACTCTTCTTTTAAAGCAAGCTAGAACTATTCCAAGTCTCACCTCAACTTTTCACTCTTTTTTTGTCTTTTTTTTCTTTGTTACATACATGAGCAAATCTTTGAAAAAAGAAAAAGTAATGTAGTGAAGAAAAGGTTGGATTCCACATTAGTGACTTAATTTTTTTCAGTAATGCTAGGGGTACACCAAAAATATACTCTCTCCGTCTAAAATGTTCTTTTTATTTGACATTTTACGGTCACCAGTGTTGTGCTTTGGCCATAAACATCTATATCTGTACATAGATAAATTTTATAAAAATTTGATACTCCATCTGTCCACCATAGATCTTCTCAGACACTATTCACAGGGTCAAACTTTACTCACTTTGTTTGCTCAATTTTACTAGTCATTTTATAAAATAATATACTCTTGTCACCTCTAGTTTTGTAGAACTTTTCCTGTATTTTATTAATATATAAATTTTATTTTAAAATTTTACTCCTATAATCAATTAAATTGAATTGAAAATAAAGTCGGTCAAACCTCGTAACGCGTAATGGGAAGATCATACATGGAGTATTTTAAAACTATGTTTCAATAAAAATATATTAATATTAAATTTATATCATAATATAATGTACGTATTCTTCTACATATCGGAGTCAATAAAGATCAAATGGGAAGAAATTTCCGGACAAAGTGAGTACTTTATTTGTACACCACTATTCTTTTCACCACCAAATTCTTATACTACCTTCGTCCCAATTTATAACGTCTGTTTCGGTTTACGATGTTTGACTGAAATTTCAAACAATTTTATATGACAAATGGTATAGAATTAAAAAATAAAAATTACATATTAAAAAACTATATCAAAAGATCTACAAAACTAGTAGTGACAATAATATTTTATTTTATCAAATTGCTAACGAAAATAGAGAAAGAAAGTGAATGAAGTTTAACCCTGTGAATAGTAAACAGACATTATAATTTGGGACGGAGGGAGTATATTCTTCCCTCTTTTTATACACATCAAGAAATGTGTGATAAAAGAATAAGGAAATGAGATATACTTTTAGTGTATACATTACTCTCTTTCTTTTTTTAATTAAAGAGTGATACTCTAGCTTTGTACATAGGGAGGGAGGCATATGTAGTAGAGAAGGTATATGGTACAATTGGATGTACGGTATATTCGAATAATACTCATTCTGAAGTAGGTAGTACTGATCATTCTCGCACAAATATAATTAGTCTGGTACTCATTTTCACACATTGGTTCAATATAATTATAATATTCATGTGCAAATAATGTAGTGTTCAATCTGAAACAAAACAATATTAATTCACAAATAACTTAGTGTTCATTCTCATGTAAAATAAAATCCATACCATAAATAATTTCTTGGTTGTACCCAAAATTGGGTACAACCGGATGTATAATATAATTTGCGTAGTGGGCTACTTATTAGATTATACTCCATCCGTCTCAGAGTATTTGTCCAGTTTGATTTTTTTGGGTCAAACATGACAAATTTTGTTCATGAATTACTCTCAATTTGTATTGCATATTAATACAATAAAATAAATTTTTGAAAGTTCTAAACAATTTAAATATATTAAAATCATTTTTATACTACTATAAATTACAATTTTTACTTAATTAAGGGTGAATGTTCGTCCAGTTTGACTATGAGTCAAACTAGACGAATACTCTGAGACGGAGGTAGTAGTTCGTAAAAAAAGGTGGAACGCCCACCCCAGAGCCCCTACACCCCGGCCTGACAGGATTGTGAGGGGGTAAATCATGGTATAATCTCAATCTGTTTTTAGAGAGGCACCCCGTTCCCAATGCATGCGCATAATGAGTTATTACAAATAATAGAACTCTCACACGGTCGCTACCGGGATTTGACCCTAAGATCAACGGGTTTGACATCCCCTCCTTTAACCTGTTGAGTTGTCCATGCTGGCTTAAGTTATACTTCCTTCATTCTTATTTTGATTACAATTTTATTTCTTTTCTCAATAACCTTTGTTTACTGTGTGTTTTTATTGACTATATGATAAAATAAAATTTACTATGTGTTTACTTTCGACATAATTTTTTAATATATAATTTTTATTTTTTATTGATGTATCAATTTGTAAATAACATAATTTTAAAAATTGTAGGTTTAAATCTTAATTTCCATTTTGTAATTAAAATAGAGAAGGAGGATGTACAAAGAGAAAGTCAAAAGGGTGGGGGGGGTCACTTACAAGAAGGCAGCTTACGACCATGGAATAGTCAAATCACGCATGGCCTAATATTGCATGATACTCCGTACCAAATTACCAAACATTTGGTTTCCATTGCCCTATAACCGGAAAAAAATCAGGGTAAAAAGTGTATATTGTTAAATATACACTTTATAGACTACAATATACTCATTTTAACCCCTCCAATGGATAATGTAAATAATGCACTATAGTGCAAAATGCAATTCTCAACTTCTATATATACACTCTCATATTCACATCTTGTAAAAAAATTGTTACTAAAATAATGCATAATTATTTTTGTTTGTTTTTCTTTTCCTATATAATTTATTTATAATATCCAACCGTTATTAAATTATTATTACTCTTTCAATTACTTTTATAAATAATTTTTTTACTAAAATGTTATAGTACATTATTGATTTTTAATTATATTTTCATTCACTAATTTTTTGTTTCTTAATACTCTATAATCATAACTTTTATACTCTATAATAAAATTTTTAAAACTATATATATTATCACAATGAAATAACTTAAAATATTAAAATATAATATAAGTGTATTATATAGAAGATATGGTTGGAGTGGATATCAAAAAATGGATGTGTAAAACACTATTAGTAGTGTAAAACTTAATATAGCCTACCTATTTTTACACTTTCCATTGTAGATGCTCTAAGTATAAATCCTTGAATATGCTACTCCCTCCGTTCCAAAAAGTCTTTACTGTTTCATTTTTTGCGCATCCTATAAAACACTTTTACTGACATCTAAAATGTCTAAAATTTACAACATTTCTTCTTTATTGTGGGTAGAAGCTATTTTGAAAGTTTTTTTTGCATTCAAGGCGAGATATAAGTGTTTTATGGAATGCGCAAAAAATGAAACAGGAAAGACTTTTTTGGGACGGAAGGAGTATTTTTATTTCTGAAATGACATCAAAATTAATAAGAATAATATTTTAAGCTTGAGTTTAGTGTATGATTTGATATTTGTTGTATTGTAAGTTTGAATTTGATGTAAATGGTTCGAGATGGTGTAAGACACTTAGTTCATCCATCCCACAATATTTGTCACTACTACAGTGTCTCTGTTACAACGTATCAAGAACTCTTGTTTATACATTTTCATTGACTATTCGAATAACGAAATACTTTTGTCGCATCTTATTTTATATAATTCTTGGTATACTTTTAAATGGTTTAATTTTTAGTTTTTATTATTTTTATACCAATTTATAATTAAAATAATTCAAAAAATGGTAAATTTTAAACGTTGTTATAGAGTGACAAACATTGTGGGAGGAACGGAGTATTTAATGCTAACCACCTTCAGCTTTGTACTAAACACGATGCGATTTGATTATCTTATTGATAATTTTTCAAGTTTCTCAAACAAACTATTTTTGATCCAATACCCAAACTCACAATCCATTAGCTTTGACTCATACAAATGATTCTAGATCCGTGACCCTGCGTCTTGGATCAAATGCTACCTCTTCGATTCCAGTCCGATCTCAAGTTATCTCGATCGGTTTTAAAAAAAAATTGCCCACCAAGGTAAATTCTAAAAAAAATTGTATTATTTTGACCACCAAAGTTCCCATGACATTGCCCGTCAATGTTATTGGATGACCCAAGGGCGCTCCGGTGTCATGTTCGTAAAATTGACGGTTCCTATCCACCTAACTCTAAGCGAGATGGAGGGTTTACCAGCGGTAGAAACCGTCAATTTTACGAACGGGACATCGAAGCGCCCCGGGTCATCACATAACATTGGGCCGTCCTACTTGGACATTGCCCAATGGATATGCACCTGAAAAGAGAGAGAGAGGGGTAATAATGGGCGTTTGATTAGGTTTAGAAGTCAATATTTGGCAGAGATGCCATTTACATCCTTCTCCCTATTTCTATACTGTAGTTTTTGGGTGACAGACAGACAGCTCCTCTCCCTCTTTATTTAGCGGGAGATGCTAGAGGTACACCAAAACGTGTACTCCATTTGCCACTCATTTATTTTTTATTTTTATTTATTTAATTTTGTTTTAAATTTATTGCCTATTTAAATGGTAATGGAAGAGTGGAGGACAAGTGGGATACACCATACCCCTAGCATTTTCCTTATTTAGCCTCAAACCCGACGCCATTACACTATTTTACTCCCTATTTATACGTGCCTTTTATGCGCTGCTACGCCTATTTGACTTGACATTTTACATGTCCCTAAAAGATTGTGTACTTTTACTTTTTTAATTAAACTATGGTGACCACAAATTAAATATAATTTAAAATAAATAAATATTATAAAAATTTAATATTTTAACATTGTATTTTAAAATAAACTAAATTTTAATTTGTTGTATTGATATGCAACATAAATTAAGAGAAATTGATTATTACAGTAAAATTTATCCAGTTTCACTCGAAAAAAGTCAAACTCGAATACACTGGAATGAAGGAAGTATCTAAAAACTAAATCTTAAATTATACTCGTACAAAACAAGAGGTGAAATGATTATACAATTTTCTTAGATGGGCACTAACTTATGAATAATGAACATTTGACTTATGAAAGCATTTAAAAATTTGACTTATGAATAATGAACAAGCAATCTAAATTTGGACGAATTAAGTATATTTGAAAAATTGATTTAATTCACCAATATAGGCATTTCATCATTCACCAATAAACGAAATGATGCGTTTCTAGAGGTGAGCAAAACGGGGTATTGGATGGGATCAAGTTAGGCTTTACCTTTAGTCTTTAGAGCACTAGAAATGGTCATGAAGTTCCGAGCCTTCAAATCTTCTTTCTCCGACATATCAATTTTAATTTCAATCACAGTTTCAATAGAAATATGTTTGAAGCCTCGGGGACTTCATATAGGGGCTTCAAATCTTTTTTTAAATTTTTAAATAAAGTTAATTTAATAACATTTGATTAATTAATTAAATTTAAGTGATAATAATTCGAGCAGACGGTGTAATACCCTGTATTAAGATGGGAATGAGAAGAGCTCAAAAGGATTAATAGTACTACTCATAAAAACAAGATGCATCTTCTTTTCGAGAGCTCATCATCTAGAAACTCCAAGGTTAAGCGTGTTTGACCTTGAGTGATTTTAGGATGGGTTACCCCTGGGAAGTTTCATTGGGCGCGCATGAGTGAGGACAAAGTGCGCGGGAAAGACTTGTGTTGGTTTGTGGGGTCCGTCTACAATTTTATGAGAGGACACTTACGGCCAGAGTGGGGGCCTGGGTGTTACAGACAGGCTTGACCATGGGTGAGTTGAGCAGACGGGCTCGATCATGGGTGAGCCGAGAAAACTGGCTCGGCCATTAATGAACCGAGCAGACGGCTCAATCATGAATGAGTCGAGCAGACGAGCTCAATCATGTATGAGCTGAGTAGATGGGCTCAATCATGGATGATTGAGGAGACAGGTTCAATCATGGATGAACCGAGTAGGTGGGCTCGACCATGGACGGGCTCAATCGTGACTTCCCAGCAGATGGGCTCAATCATGGATGAGCCGAGCAGACGGGATCATTCATGGATGCAAACGGACTCAACCACAGATGAGCCGAGGAGACGGGCTTGACCATAGATGATTGAGGAGACGTGCTCAATCATGGATGAGTTGAGTAGGCGGGCTCGGACATGGACGGGCTCAATCATGGATGAGCTGAGTAGACGGGCTCAATCATGACTACTTAGCGGACGAAGTGTTTCCTCGGGACATGGCTTGTGGGGTCTATTGTGGGCCTTCTATGTACTCTTCTTGGTTACATGGGGTTACCTTCTATCATCCATATACGCCCAAAGCATTTGTATGTGAATATCAATTACGGAGTATTTACATTTTTGGTATAATATTTTCATTTTCATTATAACATCAAAGTTTTTCACGTAAATATATAGATTTCACGAATTTTTAATGTTAATATAACTTCATATTAAGATTAGTTTTTGGTGTATATATTTTATATTTTTTTTAGTTTACAATACAATTTAAAATGTTTAGTAGTTGAGGAAAAATAACTTAAATCGAATGATTAGTTATTTACATTTATATTTGTATGATTTTTTCACATATATTCACATATACATAAAACGAAGTACATTGAAAAGTTTGGTTTTTTCAGTTCAATTTTTCTCGATTGAAAAATAAAATAAAAATCAAACAATAACAATTACTACATCCGTTCCACAAAAACCTTCAGGTTTTGAATTTGGGGAAAAATAAGGAAAGTGTAATTTTGGTTGACTTTCCAATTTTGTCCCTGATGTGATGGGAAAAAAGTAAGATGAGATAGTTTGGTTATTAGTGAAAAAGTATGATGTGATAGGTAGGGTATGAAAAAGTAGGGGTAAAAGTGGTTTTTTAATAGAAAATGGAAGTGTTTTGTGGAAAACAAAAAAAACGAAAGAAGATTGGTTTTGTGGAACGGAGAAAGTAAAATTTATGCATTCAATTTCAATTTTCCCTAACTCGATTCGATCGGTTTTGATTTAGTTTGGGGTTTTCGATTTGGGAAATACTTGGTTCACAAATAAAATGGTCACAAACTTCACAAAGTTACTAATTGTGAACTTCAATAAATAAAATTAAATAATCTAAAATAATTTTAAAATGAAAATCTAAATCATAAATAGTAAGTTTGTGAAATTTGTGAATGTCCTGTTTGTAAACATAGCATTGCTCTTTCGATTTTGTTGAAAAGAACCTAGCCCTAGTCAAATGCCATCTTGGGAATAGGGATAGAGCCGGAGAGGCAATGCAAGAAAAAAAAGGGGAAAAAGAAAAGTTTTTACAAAAGTTTTAAAAAGGAGTTTGCAAACGAGGCCTTATCATTGATAACATGTTTGTACTTTTTGTGCATTAATAATGATTGTTCATTACCAATTCACATTTGGGATAGAATCTCTATAAAACTCTCTTTCTATCCTTAAATTCAATCCCCTCTCTCTCTCTCTCTCTCTTTCTCAATTCACAGATCAGAGTTTTTGCTTTAATTCCCACTGCTATAATAATCTCTGTGTTCACGTGAAGAAATGGAGCTTGGCTTGAGCTTAGGCCTGGGCTTAACCACCATTAATGGAAGACCTGTCGGACATCAAGAAGAAGAAGAAGGCCAAGAGCCGCCGGACAAATTCAAAGAATCCCAGACCGATTCCGCCGCCGACGGCGACTACGACGACGATGACTTCGAGCACGCCACGTCGTCGTCGGAAGAGCCCCGCCGGGGCTCGGGTCGACGGTTTGCCCTGTTCGCCTCCCCTGTTCCGCTCGACCTCCTGCCTCCCGCCCCTGTTCAGTACATGACCGTCGGATTCCGTCCGGCGGCCGGAAGGCCGGCGGCGGAGGAGGCGTCTTCGCCGAACAGCGTGGCCTCGTCGTTCCGGGCGGTCGACTTCAGCGTTTTCAAGCGGAACAGGCCCGGCGCCGGGATGGAAGAGAACAGGGGAGCAGGTCAGATGAACGGCGGCGCAACGGCGGTGGAGAGGGCGAGCGACGACGACGAGAACGCGGCGAACGGCCGGAAAAAACTACGGCTTTCGAAAGAACAGGCAGCTTTTCTTGAAGAGAGCTTTAAAGAACATCACACTCTCAATCCTGTAAGTACAACCAGCCAAAAAGAAGAAGAAGAAGAGTGAAATTACCAATTTGTCCTCCTTAAACCCTTTTATTATTGACTCTTTCTTGTATGAATTTTTTTCCCATTTAATCTTTCTATGTAATTAATTTAATATTTTCTATTAAAAAAATTCATATTTTGACTAATGCTCCAAAATTAATATTTTGATTAATACGAAGTATTTGTATTCATATAAATTAAAATCTAATATTTTAATATGCGCGCTTCATTTCAGATTGAATGTATTTATATTAAATTTATATTATACAAAGAAAGTTTTACTGAAAAAAAATAATTGGACTATGGAATTCTAAACTATCAAAAAATCATTTTAAATGGCAATTTTAATCTGATTAAATTGAAATTATAATATTTGTTTGTCAAACGGTCCCTAAAGTGAAAATGCCAAATTTGTTTCTTTTTCTTAAAAAGAGAAGAAAAGACAACCTTTTTCTCATGTTGTCCCTCTTTCTTGTTCCCCAAAATAATAAAAATAAAAATCAATTTGAACACGTTTTTTTGAATTTATTTTACTATTTTAATTAAACAATTTTTTTTTGTTTTTTTATTTGGGGAAACAGAAGCAAAAGCATGCCCTTGCAAAGCAGCTGAATCTCCGGCCAAGGCAAGTGGAAGTGTGGTTCCAAAACAGAAGAGCCAGGTACCCTTTGGCACTCTTTTTTTTTTGTGATTTGAAGAAAAAATTATATTGAGTTATATATTTATCTTAAAATGAAAATTCAAAATATTTCATTTTTATAAATTTTACTTTTTTTGGCAGTATTCGTCTAGTTTGGACTTTTCAAGTTAAAATGAACCAATTCGGATCAATTAGCGTATTTCACATTAGTCAAAGATTAGAACGGAGTAATTCATTAGATTTATCTTGTGAAAAGTTTACGGAATTTTGCATCACTATATTAATATGCGATGCATGTTTATTAAACCATGAAATAAGAGTAAAATTTTCATTAAATAATACTCCGTATTTAAACATTAGTCATTTTTCAATGTAGTACTTAAAACTTTCTACTCCCTAAATAGTACTTGAATAATGTCTAGTATCAGGAACATTGTCTAGTAATGGTAGACATTTAGTTTGAACAATGTCTAGTGGCGGTGGATATTAACTTGAACAATGACTAGTACCAGTGGTACTACCATACATTCGAAAATTAAAACATATGGTATCACTTTTGGAAAATGATGATGTTTTAGTATTATTTACGTGAATTTTCCGAAATAAGACAGATAAAGCATTTAAAATGTTAAAAGAATATTGTGAAATATTAATATACAATGTCAAATTATGGCGTTTATATATGGTTGTAAAAAATGATGAAACAGGACGAAGTTAAAACAAACAGAAGTGGACTGTGAGTACTTGAAGAAGTGGTGTGAGAAGCTGAGGGAAGAGAACAAAAGACTGAGCAAAGAATTGCAAGAACTCAGAGCTTTGAAGTCTTCCAATCCCTTCCACATCAATCATCCCCCCACCACTCTCACCATGTGCCCCTCCTGCAAAAAGGTCGCCGCCGCCGACTCGGGTCCCGCCCTCCCGCTCCCGGCAAATCCCTCGCCCAGACTCATGTTCCCGTTCCCACCAGTAGCGGCTCCGCAGACTCCTGCCCACCAATCTGCGGGGTCGTGAAGGTCTTTGAGTTAGTACTCGTTCTGGCCTCTCTAAGTGTACCCCGGAGTTAATTTGATTTTATTGGCTTAAGTCAAATTAGTCTGTCTAGTTCAAAAATCCCTCTAATGAAATTTATGTTCACCGTGTTACTGAAACGTTATAAGTTATTATGTTAATTGACACAAGAATTACCTAGATAACTTTTGTGTCAATTACCATGTTAATTTGTTAAATTTCGTTAGATAAGCTAATCTAGTAATCTTGTTATTTTTATTCTGATTTCAAAATTCTTCTTATTTTGATTTTTTTGTCAAATGACGACACTCTTTGACTAAAAATAGTGAAAAAAATATATTGAATTATTATTCCAACTCAATATAATTAAGTTAATTTTAGGATATAGTTTTGATATATCAAACTTTTATAACATTTATTTGTTTAGATTATGTTTAATTTTTGGTGAAATATAACTATTTAATTAAATAAAAATCAAAAAATAGGAAAGGTTTATTTTTCACTCGAATAAATTAGAAAGACTAATTTGAGTGGAAACAAAATATACGGACCAAATTGACTATAACTGAAATATTATTTGTGGGTGAAAGGTTTGATGTTTGTGTCAGGACGGAGTAACTTTTTGGCTGGAAACAAATTGGGTATTGGTATTATTATAATTATTGCTTTCTGACCCGATTGATTGAAGTCGGGTCGGAGTTTAGGTAGAAAATTACCCTTTACTCCCTAGAATGTAGGTAGTCACATTTTGTGCGTGTAGTGTAGTGGGGGTAACAATTGGATGGGATTCCATTGGTTGATGCAAGGTTCTGACAATGTCGGGTAAAGTCATGAAATGACTTGGAGGCGCTCCGATTCCCTATTCGTAAAATTAATGATTCATTTTCCTTCTAACCACTCAGTAAACGCCCTCATTCCACCTTGACCCGAACACACTTATACCCCCTTCAATTGCACCCCACAAGTTGATTTTGACTTTGGAGTCAAAATCAACTTGTGGGGTGCAATTGAAAGGGGTAGGAGGGTGTGTTCGGGTCGAGGCGGGGTGAGGGATTTACCCAGGGGGTTAGAGAGAGTATGAACCGTCAATTTTACGAACGAAACACTAGAGCGTCTCCGAGTCATCTCATGACATTCTCAGACGATGTCATGGTAACCCCACCCTTGTTGATGATATGCTTTTCAGTTTGTTAAGTGGACTTTTTATGTATTGTATTGTGAACCTTTTTAGAAGTTACTCACATAAATACTTAATGTCTTCATCTCATTAATATTGACATAGTTACTATTTTGGTCTTTCAATATACATCATATGTCCTAAAATATATTTTCTAGTTATTATTAAATTTTAATTATTTTCTTTATTTTCGTTAGTTATTTGACAAAATAATATAGTATTGTCATCTCTTATTTTGTAGAACTCTTGATACAGTTTTTATATATATAAATTTATTTTCAAAATTTACACCTACAATCAAATAAGTTAAATTGAAGATAAAATCGGTGAAACCTCATAAACAGAAACATGAATAATGTTTTAGGATAGAAGGAGTAGTTTATAGCCCTAAAACATACTCCCTCCGTCCTAAAACTTTCTTCCCGTTGTACAAAACGAAGAAAAACCTCAAATTTTTTCAATCTATTTTATTTAAATATTGGTATAGAAATAAAAAATAAAACATACATATTTAAAAACTACATCAAAAGTTCAACAAAACAAGTGGTGACAAGAATATTTTATTTTACTCCCGTGAGGTTAAAATATAGGCCATGAAAAAACATAAATAAATATAAATTCCCGTGAGGTTAAAATAGTGCTCTGGGAAGAAAGTTTTAGGACAGAGAGAGTAAAAGATATTGAGTGTATTTCTTTATTTTTTTATTCAGAAGTTAACTTTTTTCTTTTCTTTACTTGGCTTTGTTAATCATATGTTAAAATGTTACTCGAAGTTTTTTCATCTCTTGTTTTAAAACTCGGGATACTTTTTAAATTTATACTCTATAATTCTTTTTCAAAACTTTGATCCATTATTTAGATAAATGTTTGATATATAAAAAATTAAACTACACCTTAAAATTAATTTAAAAATAATAAATTTATTCTATACTTTTTTTTAGAATCTGTTGCTAAAGTTTAAAGTATTGGCAATGACAAGTCAAAAAATGAAATGGCACACGGTGACGTAGAACATTTCAACCAATCAAAAAGAGTCCAAACAGCGTGTGGCGAGTGGGTGGAGTAGCATGTCATGCAATGGCAAATAATTTTTTTGGTCATTTTTTACACTTTTGTGACATATTTTAATTATAAATTTTTTTTACTTATCTTTTTTTCATAAAAATATATGCACTTAATTTAAAAAAAACATTTTTTCGACAAAAAAATAAAAAAAAAGAAGAGAAGAATGCCTCGCACAAGATTTGCATGCATTGCGTGGAAGAATAATGCACAAGCCAGGCATGACAAAATAGACAAATGACTGATGTCGCATGGTGTGGCGGGCATTTGCCTCGCCAATGCAAATGCTCTTAAAAGTTTGGCAAATAGAATTAAATACTCTATATTAAGATTTCTTTTAAGAGAATAAATTTATGGCACGGAGTACAACAATTAAATTAAATTTATTTAATTGATGTATTTACTTCTTCATGGCCTAGGCGTCCCCGCTACGGAGTATTTCCAACATCTCCACTTTGGATCCATTCCAATGAAATGTATTGAATCTGACCAAGTGTTACGTAGTTGACAAAGATAAGGAATGTCAAAGAAGTGTAGACATAAGTTCGATTCATTATTGTTTCATAACGTATGTGACGCCCCCTCCAAACCCCCCTCCCCCCTAATTGGATCCAATTCGAATGGACGTTGCGTAGTTTACAAAGATAAGGAATATCAAAGAGGTGTAAACACGAGTTCGATTGATTATTGTTTCATTACGTAATGTGCTGCCCCCTCCAACCCCTCCCCCCCAATTGGATCCAATTCGAGTGGGTGTTGCGTAGTTGACAAAGATAAAGAATATCAAAGAGGTGTAAACACGAGTTCGATATATTATTTTTCATATATTATGTGCTGCCCCGGCCTCCAACCCCCCTCCCCCTCCGAATGCTCTCTCTGTTGCATGCTTTGCTTCCCACGTGACTTTGCACCATCCTCTCACATGCATCATAACTACTCTCTTACATTAATCATACATCTTTCTCAATTTACTCCTTTTCAAATTTAATTCAATTTATTCTTTAATTTAAAAAAGTTAAATTATATGTGAAATTGTTGCGAGAAGGAGACGTATTGGATTGTGATAATTTTTCTATTTTGATATAATTCTTATTGGAATTAAAGTTTAATTATTTGTTTTGCCTTCTTCCTATATAACGAGTATTGGTTGTTTGTATTCAACAAGATAATTCAATATACATTACTCCGTATTATTTTCTACTCCCCCCGTCCCAAAATATTTGCCACACTTGCTTTTTCAGCAGTCGCGGGAACTTTTGGTTTATTTCTACGTTTTCATTGGTTATTTGATAAAACAAAATATTCTTGACACCTCTTATTTCGAAGAACTTTGCATGTAGTTTTTTGATGTGTAAATTTTATTTTTTATTTCTATACAAATATTTAAATAAAATGAATTGAAAAAACTTGATATTTTGCCTTGGGAATACAAGTGTGACAAATATTTAGAAACGGAGGGAGTACAAATCAAAAGAAGGAAACATAATTCCAAAGGGATTCGATTTAGTATCTTTGCTAAGTTTTCTTTTTCTTTTTTTAATAAGAACATAATTATGATAAAAATAGAAATTTACTTAATTGTTTTACCTTCTTCCTATATAAATAGAGGTTTATTTAATTGCTTTACATAAAGAAAAAACATCCAAAATAAAAAAATTTCCAGTTGTCGACCCTGGCCAAGGACTCTGCCCCTTCATCTCGCTACCCGGGGGACGGGAGCTGCCGCCCCGAACCCCGCTATGAATTTGTAATACCGTTGGATGAATGTGCACTTCGCTTCCCAATTCGTTTGACAACGTCTATTCAAATCTTTGTAAGATCTAAGTAGATTCAATCAACACCTCCTGATTTCATTAATCATCGTCCTACCTACCCAACATAATAATAAGTAAATGACCAAAACTACTACGAGTTCGAATCTGCCATTGCGGCAAATGCATCACTTAATTGCTTGTCGTTTTCCAAAAGTCCTTTGGTCATGATTGGGTCGTCGAGGATTGTAGCAATCCGGCTGCTGCTGCTAATTAATCAACGGACTATCAAAGCCAGTGTTTGCATGCCATCATTATTGCTTGACCCCACTATTTTTGGGGCTAATATTGGTCATTTTTGGGCCTTAAAGATTTCTCTATATAATTACTAATATCACACTTTAATGTCATCGCATAACCCGGAGCACCAACGTTGCTATATTTAAAAACTTGATGGTTTATATTTCTCCAAATCCCCGATACCCAAACAGCCCCACCTCATCCTCTCCAATTGTACCCTACAAAATTAGACTAATCACTCTGGTTTAAGTGATATTAGACTTAAGTGTCATATGATGATCTACGACACCTACGATGCTCTATTTGAAAAATTGATGGTTCATACCCCCTTCCATACAGTTACATTATGAATCATGTTTTGTTTCTAAGTCATGTCATTTATCATTTGAGTTTTGTAAGCACAAGGCACATGGCCTTTTAATTTAAGAGTAAATTCATAAAATAGTCTTTTGTAATAAGGTATTTTTCCAAATCAGTTATCAATAAGTTTTAATTACCTTCATGGTCCTCTATAATTGATATTTATTTCCAAAATGGTCTTTCATAAATAATGTTACTCAAATGAGGATTAATTGAGGGTATTTTGGTATTTTTTTATCCGCTAAATTTAGAATTATTTCTTAAAATGATCATTTATAATGAAGTGCTTTCCCAAAATAATTTTTTCTCATTAAAAATGTGTATTTGATTTGAAATTTAAAAGATTTTTTATAAGTTTTAAATAATTCATGAATTATTTATAGTTAATGTATTCTTTCAATTTTACATTTAGTTGTACAAAAATAACTATTTCAAAAATATATTTTGAATTTGAATGATCAAAATACCAAAATATCTTC